AAATTGGATTTCGGGTTGGCAGCCCCTACGTCCAGAGATTCTGCTGGGGGAGGGAGGGCTTGCCGGGAGCACCCCCCAAATTTGGGCGCTCTTCAATCGTCTCTTCCTCGCCGTGAGGCAAGACGAGCTAGCTTACTTAGATAGATAGATAGATAGATAGATATATATATATATATCATTCGTTAAGCTGGGAATTCTGAGGCTGTGTCTTGTACTTCGTTGCAAAGCTTGAGTCCCCTTCCAACATATGGGAGGTTGTATACGAGACAAGTGAGAAGTGTGATACGATTATTATAACGTCTATGGGATAATGCAGGGAATGTGCCACCATACTGACATTAAAGCACATTTTGAAGTAACTGCGCGCAGTCACTAAAGACCTCACCTGTGTGACCTACTGACCTACTGTACCCGTTGCTTTCCGAAACGTTGCACCTGCTTCAAGTACAGCCGGGCCGAGGCGGACGACGTGAGGTGACGTGGTCAGGGAACTCACAACTCCGGAACGACTTGAAACTGCTTGATTCACGGGGTCGGGCAGCTGCAGCCGTGATGAGTGGAGATTCATGTTGGTGGGGCCCTTATGACCAAGCGAGTTTTTTCATGCGTTTATGTTAGAAATTGAACACATGTCTGCGTTTGTGATCCGTCACACTTGAGATGGATTGCTTTGATGGGCTCAAGTCTCTGTCATCTGTGTTCTTCAAGAGCTGTGCTACTGAGGGAACAATCTCACCGCCTCTTCGTTTTGCTAATTAGTCTGCTTGAGAAGATGAGCACATGGAGTGCTTCTACTGAGACGCTTCCAGTGGCAACTTGCTGTTTAGAATTTCGACAATGAGTCGCCTGTGAAGCCTCACTTTCGTGCATGTCTGTTGTTTACACATTGTACCATTCCACTTCTGCTCGCACAAAACGGCGCATTGATGTGTCGAAGCCTCTCCTGCCTTGGGGAAGCAAGCAGGTTCGAATGAAGGTGTCGACGTCCGACGATTGCCTGAGCACTGCCCGGCAGGTGCTTGTACAATTAACGTGCGAAACAAGTAGCCAGAAGTGCGCCAAGCACCAAGCATGGGCGTAATCACTCGCATCAAGTTTATGCTCAGACTCCTGCAACTGTTGCTCTATGAATTTCATGAATAAGCCAACGTCAACGTCCAACAATGGAGTGACGCCAGCTCCAGCGTTCGCAACTACTTTCGACTGCATGGCATGCTTGTCCATCTGCATCATTGCTATTCAGCTGGCGCTTCCCGTACAGTAGCGCGGGCAGCCATGACCCTCTCACAACAGGAGCTGCACGAGTGGAGCCCGCATTTCCTGTTTCCACGGGTGTTGCGTAACCGTGTTTTTGTTGGACCAGACCAACTTGTTGTCTCTTCTCTTGAGAAGGGCATGTACGCTTGAAGTGAGTCCAGTTACAAAAACAGGCTTTGGCAAGCAGATGCAGACGTTCAGTCGACACGCTTGTCTGCCAAGCTGCAAGACCTTTGCTCCCACCAGGCCGGGCCTGGCTGCATAGGATATCCGCTTGAGTTAGTGAATGTCAGCAAGAGGAGAGAAGCGAGCTCTGAAGAAGCAGAAGCAGAAGAGCAAGAAGAGGGGTCATGCCGAGTGAAAGAGCGAAGAGAAAGACAACAAGAGGGAGCCAGGCTTGGGGCAGACACATCCAGGCAGTGAGTTCCCTGAAATGAACTTGGGGAGAGAAGAAGTTGACAGAGCCAGAGAATGTTCCTGTAACTCCTGTGCCGAGCACCCCCTTCTCCAGGCCATCGCCCGAGTTCTTAGCAGCTGTTAGCAAGATCCTTTGGAAGCTTGTGATCGCCGGAGAGTACTCCTCGAGAACGGACGAGCTCATGCGCGGGGGATCACGAGGTGGAGCGGGTTGCCCAGCTCACTCGTTGGGGGTTCAGGGAGACCTGGACTTTTCCCAATGTAGGACACTCAGACGGTTGCACCGGGCGGGGATGCTTTGGCCTCTCTGTGCTCGATTCTCTGATTTTCGCGTCTGTCTGTCCGCAGGGAGTCCACCATCCCCAATTATTTCTCAAGGCACACATCATTACAGGCTATTTCAGGTTGGAAATTGGTGAATGCGTCTAGCATACACGCAAAATTATCACGGCTACCTGCAAACCCTCACAAGGCGGTCGAACAGTCGCCTATGCCTGCGGGTGCCTGAGAAACGGCGCGTAGTCAATGTCTAGCGTCTAGAGCGACGACGGCTTCTACTCAGTTCTACCCGGATAACTCAACTTGGAAGTTCCGGTGGGGGGATGTCGCGGATTTGAAGGCAGCAGTTGAATCTCTTGTCTCATGTCGACCAAATCAAGATTTGACATGGTCGTGTGGAGGGGGTGGGGTGGGACCAGCTGTCTGTTCCTTTCAAAAGTCCGGTGGAAGGAGCAGAGGAAGAGAGAGATCCCCAAGAGCCACTTCTTGCACACATAAGCCATGTTGCCTGTACCGGGCCGACTTCCTGAGCTGTCATCAGTTTATGATTATGAATTATGATGGTGGCGGTGGTGGTGATGATGATGATGAGGTGGGGTGACCCCGACAGCCGGGAAGGTTTCAGGGGGCCAAGGCTGCCTCACGCGGGCAATCGTCGGTGCCCACCCTGGAGACTGAGAATGCCAAGCAAGGAAAGGAGTGGCTCGGGCAAGCCACTGGACACCATCTAGAAGACGTGCGTGCTCACACAGTGCAGCACGAATGACGGTGCAATGCTTTGCTTCCCCATGAGTTGTTACCAAGAATGAACCGAAAGGCTCTCTATAGCCGAAGCCCCAAGCCGCAAGAACGGGCGAAGCCCTGCGGAATGATACGCAGAAGAGATCCGCGTACATTCGTACATCTTGACCGAGAAGTACGGTGTTGCAGATGTAGCAGCAATGTAGCAGCTGTAGCATGCGAGATCCGAAGGGGGCGACCGTCTTGTGTCCAGCTTGGAGCTGTCGTCACACGCACTGACAACTTTCTTGCTGCGAGCGGAAGCGAGAGGAGAGCGTTTCCTCCGGACCCGACCAGAGAGGGAGAGCCCGCAGTCCCCGCGCCCCGGTGGATGCGGGGGAGTGTTAGGGCGGTTTTCTCTCTCCGGCCTCTCTCCGGCTTCGGGGTCCGGGCCCGGCTTTCGAAAGCCCTGCGCGGCTTGCCGAGTATATATGTGCGAGAGCAGAGAGAAAGGCACCCAGGGGTCCTCTCCACCCTTGAGAGGAGGACCCCTGTCAGGATTCCAGAAATTCTGGGCCCAGGAGAGCAGTGAGATGCAGCGAGTAGACCCAGGTCTCTTTCCTACACGCTGACGACTGTCCAGGTTGCTCTGGTCAGCGATAGCATGCCTTCGTGGGTACTTCGACTTGGCACCCTGATGAGCCTCGTCTTTCTGGCGATGTGTGGAACTGCAGCAGTTGACACTCGGGACGCAAGCTGGGACTGAGACCGAGGCCGCAGCTGTTCGATCGCCACGGCCGCGAAGTGCTGCTGAGGCTCTCGTTGACTTGACACCTCAAGCCTGTGGTACGTCATTCATCAGCTCGCCAAGTTCAGACAGCCGGGTCGAAAGCGGCTCACAGTATCATGACAGAAGGATTTCGTACTCTAAATTCACGACCAACCTGGTGGTGCCTGAGTCGTCCCGTCCCTGCTGTACCAGCCCTTCCGTCTGGCTGCCTGTTTCTTGATCCGTTCTTTTCCACAGCTTGCCGGGGATTTGGTCTGCATTTTTGTGGTAGAGTCCTCCAGAGTCCTCGTGGCTTTTTGGGCCCTTGGCCCGGGGACGTGGGAGCCGCAATGTCCCCCCTCTTCCCCTCCACTCCCCTCCACATTGTAGCCAGGGCCTCCTACCTGCGCCTCGCTGGAAAGACGGAAGAAACAACATCCAGCTCAACCCCTCATCATACCTTTCTTTGCCCGGCAGAGCTTATCTGTCTTGGCGTTGCATTGTGGCGGCATTTAAAGGGCCGGCGAGAAGTTACAAGCGATATAATGACAACAGGCAACAGTGACTCGCATCTCGCAGTGTCCGATGTAAGAGGCTTGTCAGTGTCAAAGAGACTATCACACTCGAAGATTTGTCCGGAATGTCGAGTCGCTCTTCGCACTGCATCAGGGCTCTGCAGCCCGTGTCAGTCTTAATTTTAGTCACGTAGGAGGGGCTAGACAGGCGATTGTAATTGTGTGCAGGTACTATCCGGTACTGCGCACGAAGTTCTCGACACCACACACAATCTTCGAAGTCCTGGGACAGGTCATTAGCTTTCGGCTTACCTTTTGCGGTTCATGATCGCCAGACGCGCGAGGTGCTACAGAGCGCTCTACTGTACCTGCATGTGTCTTCGGTGTCGGACCTGTGAAGCTCCAACAGGTAGACCGCAGGTACAGCGAGGCCGGCAGAAGCCAGCGGATACCAGCGTTCCTGCGCGCAGTTGCTTCAGAATGAGAGCTTCTGGAGGTCATGAAGGCTGCAGAGGGGCGGGTAGCGCAAGCCAAGAACCTCGGAGATCAACGAGCACTGTCTGGCTCACAGCATCGGCACGACGAGCAGCAGCTTTTGCCCGACTGCCAGCAAGGTCGCAGGCCTATGAGCACCTCTTTGAGTTAACAAAGCAGATCTCACAGGACCCCGAGGCGCGATGAGACAACACGAGTGTCTGGAGATACCACCATCTTTACCAGCTGAGCCTTGCAGGTATGGATCGGATCTTTGACATCCGAATTGGCCAAGGTGGACAGGCCTGGATCATGTGGCCGAGAACTGGAGTTGCTGTGCTCGCAGATGAAGTGACACCGTGGCAGGGAGAGGATTTGGGATCAGGCCACGGCTTTGGCAGAGTGCTGCTTGGTGCAGGGCTTTGCAGTTGAATCATGCATGTACACTTGTGTCACAGTGTAGCAGAGAACAACCACATGCCGTGCGGCCGCCGAGACATCTTCGGGCGTGGTTGAGGTCCAATTCAAGGTCTCCGTGTGTTGCAAAGGCTTGCTTGAAGATCTGCGAAGTACTGGGACGCAGATACGTCAGGACGAAACAGGATTCGGTCGAGGCGTCACCCAAGGCACCGGTGCAGGAATCTGCATCGTAATCAGCACAGACACCGTGACACCTGTGCAGGATTCTTTAGTGATGTTGCCAAAGAGCTGCAGAGAACCTCTCACAACAGCAACGTGCCCATGTGGGCCAGGCACTCTAAGTCGTGCTTGTCACAGCTGCGTACCTCAGCCACCTTCCCGGCCAAGGCCGAATGCTTGGAATCCGAGGGCGAGTTCTTGCGGAGTCGGCGTGGCCTCATGGCCCCCTGCCTAAAGTGTCATGTAGGCGTCACAGAGCGCCCGTGCAGCGGTTGTTGGAACGGCGGGTGGCAAGGGCAAAAGTGGGGAGGAACAGGACGTGGGAGGATCAGAAACCCGCCGACACACGGCATGCACTGGCGATCCATCATGTTCAATCATTCATGCTGCATGCTCACTCAGTCTATCATTCTGTTGATGATAGAAATCCTGCATTACCTTACGGACCCTAAACTGTGGGAATTATGGCATATTCCTTATTATGGGTAATGCAGGATTTATATCATCAACCGTTCTATGAGAAAATAATATTGGACGATACATCTGAGTGAATGATGCAGTCATCCATTTCGTAAGTCAGCCATTCACTTATTCATTCGTGCATGCATGCCTGCATTCATCCAAAAATGACCCCTTCCTTGATTCATTGATTCATTCATTGACTCATCCATCCATCCATTCATGCCTCCATTCCTTCGTTCATTCTTCATTCATTTTTACATCGTGCATTCATTCATTCAACCAGTCACCCAACCATTCACTTAACAGTTCATTCATTCAGCCAGTGAGTCAACCATCCATCCATCCGTCCATCTATCCGTCCATCCATCCATGCAAGCAGTCATTCAGCCAGTCAGTCAACCATTAATTCAACCATTGGTTCATTCAACCAGTCAGCCGTTAATTCAACTATTCATTCATCCATTCATTCATTCATTCATTCATTCATTCAACCAGTCAGTCAACCATCCATCCATCCATCCATCCATGCATGCTTGCATTCATTCATTCATTCATTCGTTCTTTCGTTCATTCACTCAGTCACTCATTCGTTCATTCACTCATTCATTCATTCATTCATTCATTCAACCTTCCACTCGTTCAACCTGTCAGTCAAACTCATTCAACCACTCATTCACCCCCTCCTTCCCTTCCTTCCTTCCTTCCTTCCTTCCTTCCTTCCTTCATATATCCATGCATGCAATCACTCATTCAGTCAGTCAATCACACAACGGCTCAACCATTCAAGCATTCAATCAATCAAACCATCAATCAATCAATCAATGCTCATTCAATCAATCAATAATCAATCACTAAATAGTCAATCAGTCAAACAGTCAGTCAGTCAACCAATAAATCAACGACACGTCACACTAGCTGTGGTTTTGCCTCGTGCTTCTTTCAGTACTAGGTCGGGCGACATGAGTGTCATGAATCGTTTCGGTCGACAAAACTTGCACGGGACTGTGCACGGAAGCTTTGCGGAAACAGTTGGCCCACGGAAGGTCCGCGGAGGCTCAAGCTAAAGATAAGTTATATGCATAGATGTCCAGCGTTGGCCCGGCGCCCTCAACCCTATTAGGCCCTTAAAGCCCTAAAACGTAAACCAAACCGCCAGTAGCAGCACGACTTGCCCCAATCTCACAGGCACGATGGCGAACCCTAACAGTAAACTCGAGAAGGTTACGGGTCCCCAAAGATGCCGGATGCGGTCAGCTGAGCAGAGATACTGCACGTGGATTGGGGAACCAAACTTAGAAGCCCAGAGGGACAATCAGCCGAAGTCCCCATTAGCAAGAAATGTATGCTTCCATTCGTGTATGTGACCGTAGACCTATACATTTGTGGTCTTCAAAAGTGGCACTTGTGCAATTTTTGGATTGGAAACCCGCCGAAAGTCCCCACCCCCGACAAGCCACCGGAATTCCCTTACCCTTACAGTAGCCCCTGAAGCCTTTTAAATTCCCTTCTCGATATTTGATTGGAATCCGAAAGCCACCGAAATTCCCTACCCTATTGCTCTTCAACCGATGCATAGAACTCTTCACCGAAGAAAGTACTGGTCGTTTAGTTTCAGACTGCCAAGAATCGGTGTAGTGCTGTCAAGTTTGCCCAAACAAACAGGCTCTTCAAGACTTGGGCCCCTACCTGCGGAAAGCCCCGCGGAGCAGAACTGCGGGTTATTGCATGCCGCACGAACAGGAATAGAGCAAAACCACGGCTCACATGGGGTCGTGGGAATATTGGGCAAGTTGTTGCAAACTCCGAGCAAAGACTGCCCTTGATGAGTGCGATGAATGGATAAAGAAAGGGTAGAGAGCTGAACTTGAGCCAGGTGCAGCCGCTGAGAGCGGAGGATCCACGACTCCCGGCCGTCTTGGCCCGTTTCCGCTCCCTAGGCCGCAACAGCCGTGACCACGCTTTCTTTCCTGCGCGAAGTGCCCCACGTGGAAGGTCGCCTCCTGGCCTTGGCGCTGCGGGAATCCTTCGTCGTTCCGCTTCCACTCGCGGCACGCCGATTAAATGTGCAGCGAGCTGACTCCCGTGTCTTGGCTCTGGGAGGCCACGGTCCTGCGGCTGCTCCGCGGGGAAAAGGAGCGCCGCTTAGTCGTTGCTCGCAGTATCAGAGCGAGGGCGACTCAGCACTCAGCAGTGGTCCCAAGAGGTTGTTAGCAGCGAGCTGCCAGAGCCTGGAGATGGACTTGCTGGAGAGTTCCTAGGAGCTTGTGTGCGGCCCCAGTCAGACATGCTCTTGGTGAGAATTCGTCTGCTGCGCTAGCAGGTAGAAGTAAAGTGTATCGAAGTCTTGAGGTGCTCGCTTCCGTGCAGACATAGCTGAGCTGAGCCACGAGCAGAGGCAGGCTGCATGTTGTGTCAAAGGCGATTTTGCCCTGAAAGTCTCGCGGTACCGCCCCCGCGCTTTGCCAAACCGAATTCCTTCTTTGACCGTGCGGCTGTTTGGCTTTTTGCTCCCTCAGCGCCGATCGGACGATGTGGCCTGCCCATCCCGGGCCGCTCCGTGCAGCAAGGGCCGCTTGCCACAAAGGGCTCTCTGTCGCACAAGCTTGGTGGTCTCGCCTGAATGGGACGTCCCAGAACAAAGATCCTCGGACGGCAAGCAGAGTGCACAGGTCGAATAGCCTTGAAAGGTTTCAGTTGCCAGCCGCATGTGGGCAGGTGTTGCCGCCTGTGCAGCGACTGCCCAGTGCAGAGGCATGGATGGCACGGACCAAAACAGAAGCTTTTGCTTTTGCAATCGATGCCAGGAGCAGGTGAGCACTTTGACTGCCCAGATCAAAGCCGTGCGTGGCGAGAGTGCAGCGCTGGCGGAAGTTATCCGAGTCAAGGACTGTGAAGGATCCCTCATGCAGCAATATTGCCTGTTTCCCATCAGACCATATCCATCACCAGAAATGGTCTACCGCGACTGATCGCGACTGGCAACTATACCGACTGCACTGTTATGGAACGAAGATCGCTAAGCTCGATCATAACGAGGTATACATGTTATATCTGTAAGGCCGTAAGACCATTTCCCGTCCGCATCTGCGCACTCGTCCACGCCCTCATGCCATCCCGCACACTGGCCCACACAGATGCAGGGCAGAAGTCAGAAGCACACTCGACATAGCCATGCTGGTTCAGGACCTTCCCTTGACGATCACGCAGAAACTGTCCCAGAACGAGCGGGAGGCGAGGCGGGCGTGAACTGGCTGAGACGGGGGATTGATGGCGTCTGCCAGGTGAAGAGCCAAGTCTTCAGAGCTGAGACAGAGACGGCACGGGATGTGGCTTTATCCAAACTTGAGCTGCTGGACTATCACAGCCAGCGCGGCTGGGTCGTCAGCAAGACGGCGCCCCGGTCTGTTGACAGTTGAAGCGTTCGAAACTGTCCTTGGAGCAGCTAGTATGCTATGGTTTCAGCCTGGCAAGGGCGATCGGGCTTTTATGCCAGGGATTCCAATCCCTTCTTCGGCAGGGGATTTGATGAAGATTCTGCTGAGCCGCTGAGGAGTTCGACAAGCTCGAAAGTCTCTGGAGCGAATATTCCGAAACGAAGTCTGGCAGAGCCGCTGCGATCGCCCATTCGGCAAGAAGCAGCAGTCTGTGGACTGCTGAACAACTCTCTGAATATCTTCCGGAATTCTGGGTTTTACCATGGTGCTCAAAGATCCGCACCCAAAGAAGGAGCCTAGAGTCCCTGGAGACATTCTTGAAAGAGTCGCTGACAGAGCTGCCATCAGCCGTTGCTAGGGCAGACCTACCTGGAATCTGCCGGGAAGAATCGTGGCAAGAGCAGTACTTGGGCGAACTGGAGAATGTTCTTCGTGTCCTCGGCTGCCCTGAGGGCAAGGTCAACGGAGAGCGCGCGCCATTCCGCCGTCTCGGAGGTCTTTCAATCCTGCGTGTCTCGGCATGGGTCGTCTTTACAGCTTACAGTTTCACTGTCTGACGCAAAACGATCTTCCCGCGCTGAGCGGAGTGTACCCACAAAGGCCAGCACACCCGGTGACTAACCTAGTGGGAGGTGGTCAGACCAATAATGCCTATAGTAATTCACAGTTTGACTTGGAGACCACTCACTTGAAGCTTTAAGCTCCAGGTGCCAAAGAAGCGGCATCACGCTGTGTGATCGACAAGTTGATTTTTCCCTTGTGTGCCGAGCTGGGTGTTGAACTCACTCTGGAGGAGTACTTTCGGACTTCGCCAGTGCCTGTGAGTATATGCGACTATGTCCTGCGAAGAGACGGCCAATTGCTGGGCACTCTGGAGGCAAAACGCTGCTCAGACGAGCTGCTGGCACAGGGAGCAGCACAGTGCATCTTGCAGCTGCTGGCTCTGTGGGACCGGCGCAGGCCGGCGTCTCAGGTGGCCCCAGCAACCGTAGAGAGTGATGGACGATATTGAAGTTCAGGACGAAGACCACCCCCTTGCTCGGCATTGTGACGGACGGTCGATATTGGCTGTGCATTCAACTGCATCAACGTTACCTGGCCGTCACTCCATTACTGGATGCCTCCCAGGAAGCCACGTGGCTGAAATCTATTCGAGTGCTATCACCAATTCTGCATGCCGCATGCCTGACTGTTACAGAGAGAGACTTGAAATCCAAGGAGCAGTTTTGGACACTGCGCGATCCTGAGCCTGAGCCGCGCAGGGGCAGGGTATGCACTCTTGGCTCCTTCGAGACCTTTGTTGCTGCAGACGCTTGAGGCTTAACTTCTTGGCAGTGAACCTGAGCCAGCCGCCCGCGCAACAACCTGCAGAAGGATAGCGGAGATGTGTCAGGACGAGAGGAACGAGCATATCATGTTCGGCTACGCCGGAACTCTGCGGCCCATTCGCCCGTCTGAGTCGCCGCTTTGTAAAAAAAAAGGCTTGAAGGCTCATCCACGAGAAGTACAGTAACCGTCCGTGCTGGGGGCCGGGGATATCCGGGGGGATGGGCTCTGTGCGGAGGCAGAGCTCGGCGAAGGATCCTGGCTGGGCTGCTCAGTACCTCGAGGCAAACGACGCTCTCGGCTCCTTCGAGGCATCCGGAAAGGGCGGGCCATGCCATGGCATCATGGCTTTTGCGGGCGGCGCCTTCCATCCTTTATAAAGGGTCCCAAAGCAAAGACTGTGTTTCTCGGCTGCAGGAGTGGGCAAGCAACGCCGAGTTTCTGGCGACGGGCTTCAGCGGGCCGTCGCTGCCCACGCTTCGGCCCGAGCTTGGGAAAAAGCAGCTTATTCCCACTCGTGAAGCAGCCACCAAGGCGAAGTGAGTCAAAGGAAGAGAAAGCAAGACATGTGAGCCTGGAGAGCCCAGCACTCAGAGTTTGGCATTCGGCCAGCTTCGTGTGCGAGGGTCAATGCAGCCTACTGTGGAAGTGCCGTGGCAAAGGCTTGGATGACTTTGTGGACGCTGCGTGCTCCTTCTGGCTGGATGTGGGTGTTCGAGAGCAGGTGCAATTCACTGCCCGGAGTGCTGTAAGAGGTAGCAGGCAGGTATTCAGCAAATGAGCCGTGGGCACTCGTTCAGGTGCGTTCACTGCGCCGTGGCCTCCATGATGTTTTAGGCCCCAGAACGGGCGCCCTTTGGCTCTTCTCGCCTCTGGAGCCCGATGCTTAGCGATGCTTGGGCTGTGCTTGGGCGTCCATAGCCATTCGATGCCATTCGATTCGAAGCAGATGCTGTAGGCTGAGAGAGCTTTTCTGCGGCGTAGACTCCGTTTCCTGGACCAGCCAGGACTTCTTGCTACGATCGCTAGTCGTGCTTGCAGTGCTTGCCGTTTTTGCGTCGAGCCAAAGGATCTGTACGACCACCTGCATCCGGCCGGCGGTTTGACGCGTGACGATGACGTCATGGCTTGGCTTCGTGACGAGCTCTTGGAAATGTCGCAGGCCTGACTGACATTTACACAGTGGCGTGTCCTCTTTCAGTCTCTTTCATGGCTCACCACACTGACACTGCGCTTCTGAGGGCTCGTAACCGTTCAGCATGGTGGACTTAGACTTTGACCGGCTGCTTGAAAGCTGCAGCACAGTGCTCAGAACAAAGGACCAGGCTAGGCCGCGAGCTCGAAGGATAGCTGCCCATGGGCCTAGATCGCACAGCAATATTGGCCAGTGCACTACTGACTCTGCTGTTGGCCTGTCTTGCTGCCCGGACGGATGTATTGCCTGGAACCTCGTTGCATAGCATCGGCAACTATGTCTTCGCTTTACATGACTTGAGCATTCTCTGTCCGGCAGTGCCAGTCATGTTTTCCAGAATGGTGGTGCATCCTGGCGAGCGCTTTTGGCAACGCACGCTTGTCAGCTTGATCGTTGGTGCGGTGGCAATATTGAACAAACACCTCCTGCTTCAGGGGCAAAGTTCCAGTTACAGTTTGCTGATTAGCAGCCAAGTGGCTTCCTACATTGTCGCACTGAAATGGAGGACTGCATTGCAGTCCACGTTGTTCACAGGTCTCAGCCTCGCAGTGACCTTCTACATCATTGAAGCCAGGTGCTGGGTGGCATCCATGTTCGCCATATGCATCTTAGCGGCGCTTTGCGCGATCCATTCAGTAAAGTTCCCACCCGCTCTTGGTAAGCTGCCCTTGTCCGAAAAAGTGGTCGGTGGCAGTGTAGGGCTGGCAATTGGTTTCATGCTTCCGCGCCTATTCAATCTGTGCTTGCCTGTTGACGAAATCATGATTGTGTATGCCACAGTGTCGAGGATTGCAGATGCGGCTTTTGGGAACTTAGCCGTGGAGATGCTCCTCGTTACGGCAAATGTTCAGATCTCTCTGGGGTATCAAAGCATTCAGTTTCTAAGGTCAGTGCAGGACAGGCAAAACGCTTTACTCACTGTGGGAGCAGGAACCTCACTTTCAGCTAAACGCTATGCAGCCCGGGCACAGCATTGGGTATTGTTCGTGTGTCTGCCGTATCTCGTATTGAATCTGGTCATGACAAGCGTCCAGACGCACCAGTTCGGTCGCTTTCGGCATTGGGCAGAGCGTAGGCTACGACTCCATAGTTTCTTTCCCGACGAAGGCCATGCGGGCACCATGCTGAAAGCAGCTGCTCTCTCCAATTTCACTGTGGAGCAATATGCAGATGCGATCAACGGAGCTCTGGAGATGAGTTTCGGGATCATTTCCGCCAAGCTGTTCTCGCTGCCCAAATTGATGCTCCTGCCTGGCGTTGTCCTCGCCAAGCCTTGGCTGATGTTATCAGTTGTGCCTGTCAGTATGCTCTTGGACACTTGCAAAGCGGGGATCACAGCTTATCTGACGGCAGAGGTGGAAATGCTGCACCGCCATCTGCTTGAGCTTGCGAATAAGAGGCGCCGCCTGGAGCTGCATGACATGAAACACGAAGATCTCATGCAAAGAGCGCGGGCCTCTCGCCTTGCTCAAAGACAATGGCAAAGCGTTGGGGATCAAATTGAGGATCACGGCATGCGCTTGAAGTCGATTCAACTGCTGCATAGCATGGCGGACCAGATGTACCGCCAGCTGCTTTTAGGGCCAGGAATCGAATGCACACTGGCGTTCCTGATGGAGACGGATTACATATGTAGCACAGACATCTACCTTTACACGTCTGTGTTGGAGCATACGTTAGACACTGTACTGACACGGCAGCGCGAGCAAGCAACTCTGGCAAGCATCCAGACCAAAATCTCTGTTCTGCGCCACTTGATCGATCAGCAAGCCGCGCTTCAGGCGCAAAAACGGCCGCAGTGCAGAACGACCAAGTCCAGCCAAGTTGTGCACATAACTTCACTGGAGTATAGACGAGGGCAGGCCCATGTTCAAATCCCAAGCTTGGTTTTGCCCATGGGCCGCATCGTGGCAGTGACTGGGGCAAATGGATGCGGCAAGAGCACTGCCTTAGCATATGTGGCTTCGTGTCGAGACGGCACTTGGGGTCCATCAGGATCTGAGCTTGTGGCCGACACGATCATGGACCTGCCTTCAAGTGACATTGTAGAGATTGCGCAGCAGTTCTATCGGCCAATGTTTGTCTCTCCAATGTTCTGGCTCTTGTTTCAGGACGGCCGGGACGGCGCTTCTGGCTCGGAGCTAGCTCTTCGAGCGCGAGCACAGCGAATGCTCGAGGAATTCGGTTTGATCCGGCCGATTGGCTTGGAAGCTATGTCGGAGCTGTCTCTGGACGAAGTCAAGGAGGACTGGTACAGTGAGCTTTCGGGCGGGGAGCGTTGCAAGGTTGAGTTCATCCAGAAAGTCTTTCTCAGAGACGAGTGCCCTCCAATTCTATTGATCGATGAAGCCTTTGCACCTTTAGATCCTGCATCCAGCCACCACCTCAAGCAAAAGTTGAAGCTATTTTGCTTCAAGTCTTTGGTGCTTGTCGTTGAGCATGGCACTGGCAGACTGGATGATTCGTTTTTCGACGACGAGCTGCAATTTGCCAACGGAACAGCAACTCTCCGGTCACTGCACTAGACTAGACCTGCACGGGACCGACTTCGATTTGCTTGCAAAAAGTTGAGGGGCTGAGCACCTGAGTGGATAAAGCTGTCGGATGTTGTGCGAAGGCATTGCGCGCCCGGTTCCTCGATTTCGCGACTTCGTGCCCGCGTTTGCCACCAGGAGGCTCCGCACATAAAATGTCCTGAACAGCCGGCATACATGAAACTGCTAAGGCCTCGCTAGCCTGAAGTTGACGGCCTCCCCAGGAGCAGGCGCGCCACATTCCAGCAATGCTTGAATTCGCTGGAGCTTTGTTGAAGTTGCAGGACGTTTCCCCCGAAGCCGCGCCTGTGCCAACCAGCTCTACCTGCCGAAGTACGAAAGCAGACAGGACGAGCTAAGCAGTGGCTGAGTGTGTTTGGCATTCTGTGCGCCAATTTGCAGGAACTGCATGAGAAGCTGACGGAAGCTCTGCTGGCCTGTGAGGGCCACCATGACGCTGATCACTAAAATGCTTAATCTCGGTTGAACATTCCCTCAACATGTCGTGAATCTGCTGTCCATTGCATGAGACTGTGCAAAGCACCACCTGCCTGTGTGCACATTGCTCCTGTGTTCCGAAATGCATCCGTCGCTGATTTTCCAAGTTTGCAGACGAAGACGTGCAACATCTGACATGCCCTCTTCGCACCTCAGCCACACAGCAAGAGAAAAGCTACGCTCAACTGCTGAGATGCGATCGGAGACTGTCCATGACACAATGGCGGAAGCCGTGCAGGAGCAAAACAAGTAGATACAGCAGCGGATCAATTTCTACTCATAATGGTCCCCTCCCGACGCAAGTGTGTGCGTGATCCTTGGGCTTACTTTGTACGTCTGCACAAGAAATTTCATTGGAAGATCGAATGAGACTGCAGCTCAGCAACTGGCCGAGCATGCACCAGAGAAGACATTATGAAGAGGGACCAAGAATAAGAAGTCGACAAGAATCAAAGATTCAGATGCTCAGATCAAGAAATTCGAAGGCCTTGCAGGACCTTTTTCCCTCTCGCAGCATCTCCAGCTAGCATGCTCATCAAACGTATGGCACGAAATCTCAACGAGCAAGATGAAACAGGACTCCCTCCTGGTGCACCCAAGACCCAAGCCCAAGGCTGCTCTTTGAGTTGATTCGAGCAGTCGAGGCAGGTTTTGGCCGTGACAGGTCCGGCCGGAGCACCCGCCCTCGCCCGGATCCCTCGCATCCCGGACACCGACCCTCAAGTCCAACTTGGGAGCCAACATGCTCCTAGACCCGCGTTGGCATCAGTCTTGGCGTCCACACTGGCGAGTCTCCTCAAGTGAACGGAGGACTGCACAGGGACGAAAGTGTCAGGCTGGCATGCGCCCGGCCGACTCCACCATGCTGCTGAGCTGGTGCGCTCCCATGAATTTCTGGACATCGAATACATCGAGACATAAGAGGCGAACCGCCACCTCGCAACGGCGTGGCCCCGTGCAGACGGAACGCCCTCTGCCAACTGCCGCGCTTAAACTGCGCAGCATCCCTCGGACCTGTCCACCACCTTCCACCGTGCAAGTCGCAGTCACGACGGCATTGCATTGCGGGGGGAGCATGATGCAAGTACTGAGTTTGCGGCTTGCTTGTGCTGTTGAACATTTCGGTGCTACTATAGATCATGCTAGCACTTTCTGTGTCATCCGCCGGGCATTTCCACGCTGCAGGGCGAGGGTGACACCGCCGTGCGGGTCGGGGATTGGGCGCTCCCGCCAGCCCAACAGGGGCTCAGTGTTCTTCGCACGTCTTGTGGCAGCGATGCCAACGTCCAACACCATCCAACACCGCTTGCAGCTCCAACGCGCGGAACACGACCGCTTCCTGCACCGCATCCCGCTTGTCCAAGATTGCAGGCGGCATGGTTGGTGTTGCACTATTGTGCTGCTCCACGTGCCATTTGCCTTCTGCGTTCCCTGCCCCCACGACGGCAATCTATGCCTCCTCGCATGACGCTGCCGTTGGCCGCTGCCTCTCCTCGGCACTCACGAGCAGCACTTGTCGCGCTGCGGTTTGCCGGCTCGGCTTTCGTGGGGCCGAGGCTGACCGTCACGCAGCCTACTGGGCTTCCTGGATGGAGAGCTTGCCGGTCATCCATGCTCGAGTCCCCTCAGCAGCGGAGCGCTTGCTAACAGCTTTGGGCAACGACACAGCCGAGCGATGGCCTTCGCTCTTTTCAGCAACACAGGCTGCGGCCTGATTAAGCGCCCAAGGCTATGCAGCGCCACCATAATCATGGAACGAGGCCATGCCCACTGTGCCGGGCCCGCACACCCGACATGACGAGCCGCCGACTTCCTTCGCGGCTGGCAACTTGCTGACGTGTCTCATGCGTCCCGTGCGCTGCTGCTCTCGCAAGCTGAACGGCACTCGGCCCGAGCATGCCCCAGCCTTCAGGGTCTTGCACACGTCGGATGATGTGGCCATATACCCGACTCGCACTTCCGTGTCCTGCTCCGGCACCGCTTGCGCATGCGCCCTTCCGCTGGGCCCGCGGAGCTGCTCCTGCCGCGGTGCGCTCGATGCGTACAGACCATCGGGCTGAGTGCTCCACATCAGGCGTGCTCGCCTCCGGAGCACTGCCCCTCGAACGCGCCGTCGCCCGCGTGTGCCCGGAAGCCGGCGCGCAATGTCGCGCTTGCAGCCATGAACATGGATGTGCCGATCGACGATGCGCGGCGCATCGAGGTCGTTTGCAACGGCCTGCCGCTTTAGCACGGGGTGCAGCTTGCCGTTGATGCCACCCTCGTGATCCCGGTGACCCGAGCTGGACATCCGCAAGATGAAGCAGACGACCACTTGGGTTGAGCCGTCCGCAGCGCAGCGACGCGCAAATGTCGCAAACGCAACCCGAACTCGACCGGAGCCGACGCTGTCGCGTCGTCGCTTTCGGGCTCGAGGTGGGAGGGCGCTGGGCCGAGGAAGCTGCCACTTTTCTTCGCCTCCTTGCCCGGGCACGTGCTGCGAGTGCCCTCGGGTTCTCCGCTGGAGTGGCCTCATCTCCGTCGCGGCGCAACGTGTGCTCGCTGCCACGTTTTTTGAGTCCCCCCTGCAATCCCCTGCAGTCGGAGCTTGGTGCTGTTGGCCCGCCTCCAGCGTTCCACGAGTTCCCTGCAGATTCTCGCTGGCAGGCTCCTCAACCCAGCCGGCGGGGCACGGTGGCCGCACTTGACACCGCGGACCTTCTTGAACTTGCAGTTGCAAGAAGGTGCGTGTAAACCAAGTTCACGTGAGGTTGGCCGCGCAGCGCACACCCATGGCGTAGGCCGGCGGAGGCATCCAGCTCTCGCCATAATAATAGACGTACCGCCTGGGACGCAGCACGCCGCCAGCGCAGGAGTGTTGTCGAGCTGCGTGGGTGGATGTGCAGGTGGACAAGCAGTCACCAGTCCTATTTGGGAGTACCGGCCGCCACTACCACCACTGCTGCTGCTGCTGCTGCTGCTGTTGCTGGCCTTGAGGTAGGTGGGCGCTTGAGCCCTCAGCCCGCCGAGTTTTTGAGATTGCTTGCTCCCAGCAAGGATTTGAGGCGCAGTTGCTGCTTGACGTGCATCCTGCAGTTTCGCGATTGTGCCGCGTTGGTCTGTGCTACTTGCTTTTGCAGTCGCCCGGCCTTGCGGCCAACTTCCTTCTTCTTCCAGCGCAACCGACGTTGATTGGACATCCCCGAATCATAGCCCTTTCGCGCTATCCTTGCCGAGTTTTCCGAGCAGACCCCCCTGCCAGACGCATGCTGTAGTCTGCTTCCTTGGCGCTGGCATCTTTGCAGTGGGATCATGAAGAGGACGGCCGCAGTCAATCGACGCCGTGGGAGTCTCTGATCACGTCTCCCGTCACCGCTGGTCTGATGCACAGACCAAGGCTGCAGCCCTTGCGGCCTTTCGCGCGCCAGCTCTATGCCTCCAATACATACATGTGGCAGGACGCTGGCGAGTCACGCGAGATTTGGCAAGCCGAGGGAGGCGAGCAAGACGACTGGCTCCTGCCTGCTCTTTACGCCATCGCTCAACACCCCGCCCTCGCTGCTGTCAACGAGGAGTTGCATGAAGGCGAGGCGGTTTGTGCCTACCTTGACGACATGTACGTTGTCTCGGCCCCTGAGTGAATCCGTGAGCTGCAGGACGTTTGCTAACGAGCATTCCGCGAGCACGCGCACATCGAACTCAATCGCGGGGTGTGAGGAACCTGCCAAAATGTCGGACCTGCGCGGCCAAAGCCTGGACCGGAGACTGGGCTCTCCCGCGCGATCGTAAAGGCCTCCTCGTCCTCGGCACACCGCTCGGTACGGCCGACTACGTGGCCTCCTCACCCGCATCCCGGACATTTCAGATCTGGAAGCGTCCTGGCTGCTGCATTTCTGCGCCGCGCCGCGGGCCAACTAGCTCCTTCGCAAGGTGCACCGCGGTGATATGCGGTGATCAAAATGCCAGACGCTGGAATACACGTTTCACAGGTAGCCCTCGGCTTTGGCGGACTGGGTTTGCGCTCGGCAGCAGCCGAGCGCAATACTGCCTTCTAGGCTTCCTTGCTCGACACCCTGCCAACGATCCAAGCGTGCTCCCCGCAGATTGCTGCTCACCTCTGCTGTGCGCTCGCAGTTCCCCATGCCGGTGTTTCCACAGCCGGCGTGGCTGCAGCACAAGCCGCGAGCCAGCTTGCAGCGCGGGGTCGCCACGGCCCCGCTTGGGATGCCGCCGAGCCCCCTTTGCCCAGTGTCTTTCAACTGCCTCAGCGGCTGGCAGCAGCACGCCGCCCGTGCCTGTGACTAGCACGCGTTCGTGGCTGCATCTCGCGTCTCGGGCGCTGCTGCTGTCCGAAGCTGGGCCGGTGCATGCCGTGGGCTGCTTGGCCCGCTGGGTGACAATCGAGGAGCATGTGCCAAGCTTGCGGTCGATACCACTTGCAGTAGCCCCGTCACTCGCTCCGGCGAGCCGCGGCCAGGCTTTGGCTGTCAACCTGGCCTCGCTCTTCAGCTCGCAGCACGGCGCAAGCGTCGCGAAACCTAGCCCGAGCTCTCGCTCTCGTCGCGCTGCCGCCTCGTGGTTTTCGCTGTTGAGACAGGACGCCCCTAGGGCCCTGAACCCCCTGAAAGCTTTCTTGCGTCTCCTGGCACAAGCATGTGCCGCGAGCGCGCGCGCTGCCGTCTGCTCGGCTCTGCGTGCAGCGCACGTCTCCCGCTGGAGTGGCATCATCGCCGTGGCAGCGCAAAAGGCGCTCGCCTGCTCACTGCTCGAACGCCCCGTTGTCTCCGCTGCTGGCAAACCGGCTGTGCATGAGGTCCCGCAGGACGAACGGTGGCTCGACGCCCCGGGTCCTAAACGCCTCCCGGCGCGGACTTGGGGCACCGTCGATCTGGGACCGCGCCTGTACTGGTCGCAAAAGGTCTGCGCGAAAAAAACATGTCAAAAATGTTGATGTTGTTTTTTCCACACCCCCTTTTTACTGCCAGTACGAG